GCGGGCACGGGAGGTGCCAAAAACGGGGACTTCGCGTTGCAGCTGTGTATCCCCTCGCAGAAGTCATGGTGCTCCGTTGGCCTACGAGTGTGATCGTGGGTGTTGCAGGGCGTGGGGCCTGAAAGTGTCCGAGGCCCCTGCTGTTGTTTGGAGGTGACTGGGAAGCAAGGAGGTGGGGGTTAACCCCTCCTGGTTTTGCTAGAGGCTTGCCGAAATTCAAGAGGTGGCTGGATTGACCCTCGTCCTCAGCTGTGACGTTAGTTTTGTTGGCCGATTTTTGACAAAGTGTAAGAACAGCCGTTTCACAAGGGCTGGCTGGCTGGAGGAAAGCAATGCTCCTTCTTGCTGTGTACCTTTTGGAGAGAGGCTCTTGCAATGAAATGAAAAACCGGAGAAGTAACAAATAGGTATTTTCAGAGATCATTAGAGAAGCATTGTGTAAGTTTCTTAACATTTGACTGTGCCAATATGAAGTGGCTAATGCAAAGTGTAAAAGAGTAGCGATTTGTCAGACGTTCCAGAGCCCAGTTCCCTAGTGGCATGAATTCAGAAAACACCTAACTGGTAGTGCAGCATGCTTTGAGCTTGGTGTTTGTGGGTACACAGCTTAACATAATTTTCACAAGACTATTATGACTGCATTACCTGCTGTGCGAGCAAACATGGCAATTACATTTATCCTTTCAGATTTTGACTCAGTTGTTATGTAAGTAAGAGTATGATGAGTGAAATAATAAAAAGCAATAGGTTTTTGTTTGTTTGTTTACTTTGAGTATATGACAGCTTTTAGTGTAGCTAACATCCTTGTCTTCTCGGCTGGGTGTGTCTCTGCCTTTGCATTAATGCTTTTAGATGACATCTGAGAGCTGGGGCTCCCATTTAAATTTTCCTGTAGGTTGCACATGAGAGTCGATAAACAAGGTAAAATCTAAGGGGTGTTGTGAAGAGAAAGCTTACCTTTTATGGACCATCGCTAGCAAGGTGATCATGAAACCTTACTGAATTGAACCTGTGAACGAATTAGAGTATGCAAATAGAAGGACAAAGCTGGCATTCATAGCACAGAATGGAGCATGGTGTATTCTGCACCCTATCTAACTTGGTGTAGAATTACGATAAGCATAAAAAATAAATTCAGGTTTACTTTTCTTGCAGTTGTGATCTGTGCTTCCTGGAAGATGAGATGCTGTGGTGAGGATGGGATTGAGTTGCATGCAGGGGCTTGGGAGGCTTTTGTGCCTGCTCCATGCCTCATGGCTGGGGGCACCTGGGAGATGGGAAGCCCGTGGTGCGGAGGAAAACAAGGGAGATGCAGCCTCTGCTGCTGCCTCACAGTGAGCCTTGCTTTTTCTGTCAGCTTCTGCTTGCTGACCACTCCCAGCCTTCTGCTCTCACAACTTCATGTGTATCTGGTGGGTCTTGGCTGGAGAAGGATTTTTGGCTTGTGGTTTATATGGTCACAGGGTTTGCAAATTGCAGACTAAATAGCTGCTCAGGACCACAAGCTGTGTGGTTGTCTCGTCATATTCAAAATACTCTTTTCAGTTCCCTCCAGAGGAGTGGTAAAATCTATGAAATATTTAGACTGGCACATGTGTACGCTGTAATTAATTCTGCTGGGAATTGCCATAGCTGTCATCGCTGAAGACTTGTTTTAAATAGAATGTTTGCTACGAATCTTTAGTTAGTGCTTCAGGAATCCCATGAAGCTAACAGGAGAACTGAAACTCTTTAGTAGTAAAATACCCACTGTTTAGAAAAACACTTAGATTGATGCTTTCCACTTCACTAAAAATCCGTATTTAGCTTTTTTCTGATACTTGCAGAATCCTTACCAGTCTAACTTCTGTAGAAATTTTGTATCTGAGCCCCTTGTACTTGAGGATATGATGAAGCTGAGTATATTACCACAGCTATGACCATGACAAAAATACTGGGCAGCTACTAAAAGTTTTGGCCTTTGCAGCTTAGTAAGGAGTGATCTCTGTATTAGCACTTGGGTTTTCAGTTGATCAAACTGTATGAGAATTTCCTAAGCCAGTTCATTTGCTTGCAGCTGAAAAAAGGGTGACTGAAACACTTCCTGCCCCTTGCTGGGCCATTCTCCCCCAGCTCTGGCAGAGCTGCTGAACCTTTCCCGAATCAGCCCTCAGCTGCTGGGGTTTGCTGGCTAGACAGAAAAGGCAGAGGATGGCGAATGGCAGGGGAGGATTGCCTAAGCTCCTGCGGTTGAAGCTGTTGTCAAATATCTGTTGGTTTTCCTGTGATTGTGCAAATTCCGTGGGCTGAGGAGTTTGCGAGGCCATGCTCGCTCCCGGAGAAAGCTTTTCTATGTTTAGAAGTCTTGCATCGGTGTAGGGTCTTAGGGGTTTTTTGTTCACCGTGAAAGTGAAGTGGAGCAGATGGTTCTTCATATGATGCCCTTCCTCTTCCGTTAAAGAGGAAAAGGAACTATTAAGAAGTTATTTTTTCTTCGGTTTTAGGAACACTTCAAGAATGAGTCCATCACAAGATAGAAGTAGAAATTCCTGCAGCAGTGAGCCTCTGGCGAAGTGCCTTCAAGCAAAGGAGGACTTGGAAACAGCTATATCTGGAATTGTCAAAGCTGAGCAACAAATTAAAGAGAACTGGCGGGAGGTAATTTTAAATTATTTTTAAAAAATGTTTTTCGTAACTAATGTGACTTTAATGACAGTTTTTATTGCTCCAGAGTACTTTCTATTATGGTGATGGTCTGAAATTTTCCTAGAGACTTGCACACATCTTGCTGTGTAATTTGGTCACGCTCTCGATAAAGGTATTCCTGTACTACTGGCTTAGGCATGCAGAATTTCCTAAAGCTATTGGTTGAAACATGAGAATAGCGTTCTTTGAACATTGTTCTTTGAGACTTCTTTAAAAGTAGCCTTGGAACTTTTACTAACTTGAGTCCTTTGGTGCCGTGGGTGACTGTGGTTAGTTTCTGAGAAATAAATTGCTACAAAAATACCACTTACCTGTGACAACTACTATCTTGGAATCAGCACGGCTGTTCACCTGTTCATTCGTGCTGTTTGACAGATGTTCTAGAAATGGCGCGCGTTACCTTGCAGGTGAAGGCGAAGATTCACAGCCACATCAGCCGCCACCTGGAATGCCTGCGCAGCCGTGAAGTGTGGCTGTTTGAGCAGGTCGATCTCATTCAGCAGCTGAAAGAGGAGGCATTGCAGCAGCAAGCCCAGCAGCTCTATTGGGTAAGATTTGGTTGTAAATTGTTGCTCTGGCATTTTAAAGTAAACTTTGTCCTTGCAAGTATTTTCTCAATTTTAATCTTAGAAGCCAAACCAGTAACATGTGTTTTGTCTTCCATGCAGTATTTGGGGCAATTCAATTGCCTTATCCATCAGCTGGAACACTCCTATAGTAACGAACTAGCAAACCAGATTTCAGTTTGCCTGGAGAGGTAAGTATGTTTTATGATGCAAGTTACCACAGTTGATATTTATTTAGACTTAGGAATTTAATCTGATTTTTGGTTCTAATAGAACGAATAATAGATCTTACTTGCTGTTTCTATGTTTTTCATGGTTCCTAGCAATAAGATCTTTAAAGCAGTCTGAGATACGATTCCTCTCATCTTTTTATCTTAAATTGAAAAAACAATAACGAGCAGGGCAGGTACTCATTTGTGCAGGTTATTTCCAATGCTGGTTGTTGATGGCAACTGAAGAAAGAAGGAGAAACTTGTGTTTTGCTGGCTTTTTATTCTGTTCTTGGTTTGTGGATAGGCATCTCCATATTTTTATGCAAATATTAAAACTCTTTTTATTACCTAATTAGTGCCAAGTCAGCTTGGAAGCCTTTTTATGAGATAATGGACTGATTCCTGAAACATGACGGGTGAAGAAGACTGTGATTTTTATTTTATTTTTTCTTTCTGTAACTATCCTCTTACTCTTTCAGACTGGGAAGTCTTACTCTTAAACCAGAGGAGTCTTCCATCCTGAATTTTGAGGCTGACACATCTTACCTTCGCCAGGCTATTACCTCATTTGGTTCAATTAAGACGATGGTAAGCACCCAGACTTTCCTGGGTTGGAATACTTGGAAAAAAAAAAAAACCACCTCTTTTTTTGAGGCAGTAGTGTGATATATTCCAAGTGATACTTCTACTTTTAGTTACAGCTTGAATGGATCTCCTGTACGAGTCGTACAGTTTTAGCTCTATAATATATACATGGTGGTTTATTGACTATTGCATGTAGTTCTGATTTCGACTGAGCTTAGATGTAGTTATGTGCATGTTATTTTAATATATTTTGACAGAGACTGATGATTGTATTCTTACTCTATTCCAGCAACTGAAAATTAATGTTGCTGTTTTCTTTAGATATTAATACTTACACATCATAGGTGGCTTTCTGTGATATAAATATTTTAGGATTCTTGCGTAAGCAGAGTATTATTTCCTGTATTATTGGAGATAATTCTCTTAAAGTGGAACGAAGGTAGTATTTTTATAGTAAATCTTTCTCCGTTCTGTTTTTAAATGTTGAGAAAATTGTTAACCACAAAGAACTGACCAGTTGTAATTGCGCTTTACTTCTGCTTTATTGTAGAATTCTTCCTAGAAACTGGACAAAACTGAGATGTAAATGAACTTTTTCTTTTCTTTCCTTACAGCAAACCTCAGAGAGAGAGAGTCCTTCTCCCTGGTTCCCAGGGCAGAATTATGCCCTAATGAACTGTGAGCAGGTAAGAATAAGACTCGTATCTGTGAGTGTTTAATTGTATTGGAGGGAAAAGGAGAACTCGAGCACGCTTTGCTGGCTGGCTTGAGTAATGGCTTCTATGTGCTTGTTAAGGTGTTTGAGTAGCCAGTAACAGTCACTGTGGTGAGCATTAGCGATGTGATGTTCCAGCTGCTCCAGGAATAGACGTGCAAGAACATAGTGTGAAAGTGAATTTGAGTGTGACCATCAGTCAGAATTTTTTAGTTGAGTGTTCCTTGATGTTGCCAAGCCAGGGCTTGGAACTATCTGATTCCTTTTAATGCAGAAATTCATGGGAAATCTTACGTTGGGCTCTGCACAGAAATAGCATCAGTGAAGGAAGGTAGTGAACTAGTGGCGGGAACTGTGGTCAGGAGGAGTGTTATGGCTGGGTTAGATGTATCGGAACAGTGTGTTGTGGAAGTTGTCGCTTCCCTTGTCATTTGCTCTCTGAAGACTCTGGGATCACAAAACAGTCTATCAGTGCAGTGGCATAAAGTCATACAGGCGACTGAAGATTTTTTTTCTTGAAGGGACTGCTTTTTCTTTTTGTTCAGAAATACTGATGCATGCTGAATGCCTGTCTTGATGTTCACCATGGATTGCCTCAGCAGTTAGACTTTCTCATAACCAAGAACATCCTTTCTCAGCAGAAAACATTGTGTGGGACAGTGAGCGCCTCACTTGCTGACTGGTTGCTTGGAAGCAGACCTGTGGGCGTTCGCCAGGCTCCGTATGTTTCCAGCACCAATCTTGAAGAACGGGTTACACAAAAATATGTGTCGGAGCCCAGCCAGGTAAGCCTTTTGTGGACTAACCTAGCTTTTAATAAAGGGGAGAACGCGGTACCCAATTGCAGCTGGAATATGGTGGGAATTAAGCCTTCTGTATTTCTCTTCACTCTGCCTCATGTTCAACTCATACTTTTGCACTGATGATCAGAATGCTCCAAGCTGTAACTGTGCAAATGGTTACTGAATGTTGCCCTTTAGTGTTAATAGGTGCATTTCAATGTGTCTTTACTAGGATTTAAACTCTTCCAATTTTGAGCAAGCCTGGGGAAATCTGAAAGATTTGGAAAACTGGCTGCTGCAGAATCAACAGCATGATGTTGCTGGGAAGACAGACTCCCCTGGCCGCACAGACTCCGCCTCCACTTTCAACTCGTCCTTTTCCACTATTGAAAAGGTGGAGGGATTGGAATCCCTCGGACAAGAAGAGATGGACCTTTCTGACTGGCTGCTTGCTCCTGACACAGAGAATGGAAGTAGTGCTTCAGATGAGAAATGGAAGTATGAATTCAAACCTTTTGGGGAAGAATTTAATTTGAATGATTGGCTCCTCAAAGCTGAAACATGTACCAGCTGTCGCGGCAGCCAGATCAAAAGTGTGGAAATTGAGAACCTGGGAAATCTGAAGTGCTTGAATGAGCATCTTGATGGAAAGAAATCACCCACTATATCTGCTGTGAATGCTTGGCTTCTCCAGCATCCCCCAGCCCCATTTAAAGTGGAAGATGTATGCAAAGCTAATGAGCTGTGTGCCAGCTTGTCAGAATGCGTGTGTGATGAAAATTGTGGAAAAGAGGCTCTCTGTAAATGGCTTCTGAAGAAAGAACGGAAGGATAAAAATGGAGTTCCAGTCAGCCAGAAAGATGTGCCAAACCCTGAGCACGAGAAGAATAAGTCTGATGCCAATACCTGGCTTAACCCCGCACAGCAGCTCACAGGGGAACCCGTTAGTGCGGAGAAAGTGGATTATTCAGCAGAGACCACAGAACCCTTCAAAGTATTGCTCGAAAGGCCTCTGGCAAGCTGGCTAGCCAAGTCTGAGCACAAAGCAGAAAGCGCAGAAGAAAAGGCGAGTAGGGAAAAAGCAGATACTAGTTTCAAGAGTCCTTTCCTAGACCTCTTGGCTCCATTCCACCTCCCCTTGCATGTAAACAGTTGGGTGTTGACTTCAAGCAACCTAGAAAACGCAAACCCACCTCCCGTGGAAGATAAATGGCTTCTACACAAGAAAGCACAAGTGAGCATAAGTTTTTGTTACTGCTGGGTCTTAAGCCAGGTTTATTGTTTTATTGAATTTAATGCCTGCCTTCTCTTCCAAATTCATAGCTCTTCTGGATAGTACTGCCTGAGAGTTTTTAGGTTTCTTAGCTTTTTTGAGCTGAGTTTTCAGTGATTATTACTTAATTAGATGAGGCCAGCGTTTAAACACGGAACAAGTTAATATGTTTTACTAAATGAAGAAAGTATTAATCTCAAAGATTCAGAAGTCCATTTTATTTTGTTTTTGAACACTTGACAGAATTTGAAGATACATCATGATGTATGTATATTTGGAGATCAGTAATTAAGGTGACTTCTCTTTCAGGACTTTGGCCTTCCTACCGTTTGTGACCTTTTTGCCTGTATGAAACTCAATGGAGATGAAGAAAAATGGCTATATCAGACCCCTCTACAGGTGGGATGCACAGAATGTATTAGAACGGCTGAGCCTAAGCATAACTTGGGGGTACAGAATGCAGATGCTGGCAGCTGACTGTCGTATTCAGAGTTCTCTACGTGTGATGTTTAACAGCATTGTGGTTTCCTCCCCACGTGCATTTTTACCAGCTTGGACCATTCTACTTTTTCTTTATTCCTCCTTGTTTGATCACAAGCCAGGGGGGAATTACTTACGTTCTCGAGTAAATCGCTCTTCAACTGATTGACACTTGGTAAAATCTTGGTAATTGTAACTAGAACGTGCAATTAATGTCTAAATTTCCAGGCAGCTTCTTTCTTATCTCAGTAATGTATTTACAGCTGATGTCATGTTTTTCCTTTCTGCTGAGATAACTCTTTATTGTTGTTTTTGAAATTCATTAAAGTCGTCCTTTGTAGCAGGCATACTTCAAACCCTAAAAGGCAAGATATCAGTTCTAGGAATTATTTTAGTTGTTTTTTTTTTTTTTTCCCCAGGGTGTTTTATACATGTGGGGTTTTTTTCAAAAGTGTGGCTTTCTGTTTATCAATGAGAATAACTCAATTTTAAATTTGTTTAG